CGTTACTGTTATATTAACTATTATTATCATTATTATGATCATTGCTGTCATTATTTTTATATCCATGAATATTATTACTACTAATATTGTTATCACTATCAACATTATTATTATCATTATCATTGCTGTTATAACTATTATCACTCTTATGATGATATAAGTAAGAATTATTAATTTTATTATTGTAATTATCTTTATTATTACTATTATTATTATTATTATCATTAATATTATTATTACAATCACTATTCTTATTATCATTATTATTATCATTATTATTATTATTATTATCATTATTATTATTATTATAGTAAAAGATATTAATTTGATCATTATTGTAAATATTATTATCATTATTACTATTACTGTCATTAGAGTAGCATGAGGAATGTCATACTTACTCACTGGAAGGACTGCTGTCACTGCCACTGAAATTTATAAAGGGGGTTGTCATAAAGGATACATAAGGGGGTCGTTATGAAGGGAGTCGTTATGAAGAGGTCGTTATAAAGGATACATAAGGGGGTCGTTATGAAGAGGTCGTTATAAAGGATACATAAGGGGGTCGTTATGAAGGGAGTCGTTATAAAGGATAGATAATTGGGTACTTATTGAGGATTCATAAGCCGATGGTTAATCCTGTAAATATCTTTAGGCTTTTAATAAGAAATATCTTCCCTATTTGGTGGTTTTGGAAATCCGGTAAAGGAACAGTCCCTTATATCTAAGCCTTCCTTTTACTGTGGTAAAAAAACGCATTATCTCACAGGCTATCACACACGGGGATGCTGCCTGTATCCCGTCAGGCTCTTCGAAGGGTCTGCTGTCTTGTGTGGGACGCATTGTTACCCATATATTCACTTTCTAACAGAGCTCATTGGGGTACATTTAGAGTCAAGAATTGTGGGGATATTAATATTCTACTTTTGCTGCAATGTGAGACAAAATTATCGTTCTTAGAGTCGCCCTTGTTTTTTCAATATATTAGTTAAAGGGCGGTACTATACAGTTGATATTCTGTTTAGCAATAATATTATTGTGTTCTTATATGATGATATTATCATGTTATCAGATCAGTCACTTGTCTTAACGTTACCCTCATCTTTGACAATAAATTAATCAACCAGACAAACTTCCTATCACCAGCATGAGGGGTGCACCATGGCCTATCAGTAAATATATGAATTGATGCTTTAATAAATGAATGAAATGAAAGAAATTCAAGGAGCCGATGCTTCATATTCTTACCTGTCCTCAGGTGATTCCGGGCTTTCACTGAAATATATGTTATGTTATGTATACATGTATATATATATATATATGTGCATATATCATTCATGATATATATATTATATATATGTGCATATATATATAATATATATATTATATAAATATACATATAATATATATGCATATTATATATATTATATGCATATTATATATACGTATAATGCATGAGTACTCTTTAATAAATAAATCAATTTCCTATAAACACAACTTATTATGTAATCCAAATTGGGAGAGGAGCTGAGGGCATGAAATCACTGCATCAGTTAAAGGGCAGTACTTTACTGCTATTATCCTCTATTATTCTGTATTACACTCTTATTGTGTTAATCAATAAGACAACTTCCTATTACCAGCATGAGGGGCGCATCATGGCCTTTCAGTAAATATATGAATTGATGTTTAAATGACTGAAATGAAAGAAAATGAGGGAGCCGATGCTTTTTATTCTTACCTGTCCTCAGGTGATTCCGGGCTTTCACTGAAAGATATATGATATGTGTTGTTATATATGTATGTATATATATATGTACATATATAATATATATATACTATAAATATGTACATATATTATATATAATATATATATATTCTATATATATACATATATATGTATATCATATATATTATATATATAAATATAATGCGTGAGTACTCTTTAATAAATCAATGAATTTCCTATAAACACAACTTATTATGTAATTTAAATTTGGAGAGGAGCTGAGGGCATGAAATCAAGAAAAGATTGAGAAAGGGAATTTTTAAAAGCAAAGTTTACGTGTCACATCTGGTTAAGAACCGTCTTTGCGTCACCCTCTTTCCTTGGTACAAAACAATTACATTATAAGGTTCAAACGCAAGGAAAAATCGTCTGTGGGCTGTGACACTTACCTCTCGCTGTTACTTCCGCCCTTCTTCCTGAAATGTGTAAAGTAGCCATTATAAAAGATTTTTTATAGCAGTTTCTGTACTTTTATCTGGCTCTCGAACCAGGCTTGGGGCGAGGAATTTCACTCTTGCTACTAGTGTTCAGGAGGCAATTGAGTTCTTTGGTATGTGATCTAGGATTGGGTGCATCATGTCCTTTCAGTAAATATATGAATTGATGTTTAAATGACTGAAATGAAAGAAAATGAGGGAGCCGATGCTTCTTATTCTTACCTTTCCTCAGGTGATTCCGGGCTTTCACTGAAAGATATAAGATATATATTACGTTATATATATGTACATATGTATATGTATATTTATGTGTACATATATATATATATATATCATATATTATACATATACATATATCTATATATTATATATATGTACATAAATATTACATATATATATATAAAACATGTATCAGATAGCTGTGTCGTCTTGTTTTCACTGCATTAGTTAAAGGGCAGTACTATACAGCTACTATTCTCTATTACTCTCTATTATACTATTATTGTGTTAATCAATAAGAGAACTTCCTATCACTAGCATGAGGGGTACACCGTGGCCTATCAGTAAATACACGAACTGATGCTTTAATAAATGGATGAAGGAACCGATGCTTCTTATTCTTACCTTTCCTCAGGTGATTCCGGGCTTTCACTGAAAGATATATGTTATATGTTACAAGTGTTATGTTACATATGTAAATATGATATGTTTATTTATATGTACATATATATATATATTATATATATAATATATATATTATATATATGTACATATAATATATATGCATATTATATATCTTACATGTATCAATTATATATTTATATACATATAATGCGTGAGTACTCTTTGATAAATCAATGAATTTCACAAACATACAGTTACACTATTTCATCATATGTAATGATTCATTTACATTATTTAATATCTCCATCTTTTCTACTTTTGCTGCAATGTAAGACAAAATTATCATCTTAGAGTCACCCTTGTCTTCGCCAGATAGCTGCATTTAAATGTCGTCTTGTTTTCACTGCATTAGTGAAAGGGCAGTACTATACAGCTACTATTCTCAATTATTCTCTATTATACTATTATTGTGTTAATCAATAAGACAACTTCCTACCACCAGCATGAGGGGTACATCATGGCCTATCAATAAATACATGAATTGATGCTTTAATAAATGTATGAAATGAAAGAAATTGAAGGAACTGATGCTTCTTATTCTTACCTTTCCTCAGATGATTCCGGGCTTTCACTGAAAGATATATGATATGTGTTATGTTATATATCTATGTATATATATATACATAGTCGCTGCTACTGAAATGTGTAAAATAGTCGTTATAAAAAGGTTCTATTGTAGCAAGGTATTTTTATCTGGCTCTCGAATCCAGCTTGGGACGAGGAATGTTACCCTTGCAGCTAGTGTTCAGGACGCAATTGAGTTCTTTGATATTTTCGCAGCAGGGAAATAATGATTGTAGTACCTTAATTGTTTGTTTAATTGGTAGTTGTAGAAATGAAAACCTAAAATGGATAATCATGTTATATACCTGCAAGCAATTGTACGACTAATAGTTAAAATAAAACCAGAAATCGTTTTAATGGTTTAGTTCGGTAAAGGAACAGCCCCCTATTTTTAAACCTTTGTTGTTTACAATGGTACAAAATGCATTATTTGACAGGGCTCTCACACAGACACTTGCTCTTCGGAGGGACTGTTGTCTTCTCTGGAACGCATTGGAGATATCGATATGTTCAAATTCTAACAGATGCATTTCAAATCAAGAATTGTGGGGCTATTGATATCAACTATTTCATTTCATATTTAATAATTCATTTACTTTACTTAATATCCCCATCTTTTTTACTTTTACCTTCGCTATATAGGTGTCTTTCAGTGTAGTCCTGTCTTCAGTGTAGTCATGTACTATACAGCTGCTACTCTCTATTCTAATATTATTGTGCTATTATTATCATGTTATCATCATATCAGTTTATTTTTACTGTTACTGTAATTATCATCAATTATCATAAGGCACTTGACATGATATTACCCTCGAACTCATCTTTGTCAATAACATTAATTAATAAGACAACTTTCTATCACCAGCACGAGGGGTGCATCGTGGCCTATCAGTGAATATATGAATTGATGCTTAAGTCAATGACTGAAATGAAAGAAAATGAAGGAGTCCATGCTTATTCATACCTGTCCTCAGGTGATTCCGGGCTTTCACTGAAAGATATATGGGTTATGTTATATATATGTATATATGTATATATTTGTACATATATATTGTATATATTATACAAATCATATACGATATAAATATTATATATATGTAGATATATATATGCATATTATATATATGTACATATATATGTATATTATATGTATTACATGTATCATTTATATGCATATATGCATATAATGCGTGAGTACTCCTTGATAAATTAATAAATTTCACAAACATACAGCTTATTACGCAACTCAAATTGGGAGAAGAGTTGAGGGCATGGGACAAAAAAAAAAAAAAAAAAAAAAAAAAAGATTCAGGAAGAGAATTTCTAAAACTAAAGTTTAGTTTCTGTCAAATCTGGTAAAGAACCGTTTCTACGTTATCCACTCTAGTTAAGGGGCAGTACTATACAGCTACTATTCTCTATTACTCCCTATTATACTATTATTGTGTTCATCAATAAGAGAACTTCCTATCACCAAAATGAGGGGTGCATCATGACCTATCAGTAAATGCATGAATTGATGCTTTAATAAATGAATGAAATGAAAGAAAATGAAGGAACCGATGCTTCTTATTCTTACCTTTCCTCAGGCGATTCCAGGCTTTCACTGAAAGATATATATATGTTTTATGTTATATATATATGTACATATATCATATATAATATATATAAATTATATGTGTCTATCATATATATTATATGTATATAATACATATACATATAACGAATGAATTCTCTCTAATAGATTAATGAATTTCCTATAAACAATTTATTATGTAATTCAAATTGGGAGAGGAGCTGAGGGCATGAAATCAAGAAAAGAATGAGAAAGGGAATTTTTAAAAGCAAAGTTTACTCGTCACCTCTGGTAAAGAACCGTTTTTGCTTCATCCTTTCTTCCTCTTTCTTTGGTACAAAACACTTACATTATAAGGTTCAAACGCAAGGAGAAATCGTCTGTGGGATGTGACACTTACCTCTCGCTGTTACTTCCGCCCTTCTTCCTGAAATGTGTAAAGTAGCCGTTATAAAAGATTTTTTGTAGTAGTTTCTGTACTTTTATCTGGCTCTCGAACCAGGCTTGGGGCGAGGAATTTCACCCTTGCTACTAATGTTCAGGAGGCAATTGAGTTCTTTGGTATGTGATCTAGGATTGAGTGAAATAATAATAACAAATATCTTAAGTGTTTGTTTAATTGGTGGTTATGGAAGTGAAAATCGAAAATGGATGGCCATGTAATATACGTACAAGGAATTGTACAACAAATAGTTAACATAAAACCAGCTGTTGTATCGCTGTATCAGTTTAGTCCGGTAAACGAACAGCCCCTTATTTTTGCCCTCTATTTTTTTTTTTCTTTTTTACTGTGGTACAAAACGAATTATTTGACAGGGCTTTCATACAGACAGACACTTACTCTTCTAAGGAACTGTTATCTCTGGAACGCATTGGAGATATCGATATGTTCACATTCTAACAGAGCTCATTAGGATGCATTTAAAATCAAGAATTGTGGGGCTCTTGATATCAATCATAACATTTCATTATATTTAATAATCCATTTAGTTTATTTAATATCCCCATCTTTTCTACTTTTATCTTCCCCATATAGGTGTATTTAAGTGTAGTCCTTTCTTCACTACATTAGGGGGCAGTACTATTCTCTATTCTATTATTATTGTGTTATTATTATCATGTTATCATTATATCAGTTTATTATTACTGTTACTATAATTATCATCAGTTATTAGCAATCACTTGTCATGGTCAATAACACTAATTAATATGACAACTTCCTATCACCGGCATGAGGGGTGCATCGTGGCCTACCAGTAAATATATAAATTGATGCTTAAGTAAATGACTGAAATGAAAGAAAATGAGGGAGCCGATGCTTCTTATTCTTACCTTTCCTCAGGTGATTCCAGGCTTGCACTGAAAGATATAAGATATGTGTTATGTTATACATATGTATATATGTATATGTATATTTATATATAAATATATATTTTATATATATTATGCATATCAAATATGATATATATGTATCATGTATATGTGCCTATTATATAAGGTAAGATAAAATTATCGTCTTAGAGTCACTTTTGTCTCCGCCAGATAGGTGTATTTAAGTGTCGTCTTGTTTTCACTGCATTGGTTAATAAGACAACTTTCTACCACCAGCATGGGTGATGCACCACGGCCTATCAGTAAATACATGAATTGATGTTTTAATAAATGAAAGAAAATGAAGGAACCGATGCTTCTTATTCTTACCTGTCCTCAGGTGATTCCGGGCTTCCACTGAAATATATATGTTATATATTTATATGTATATATATGTGCATATATCATATATGATATATATATTATATATATGTACATATATCATATATAATATACATATATATATATCATATAATATGCATATCATATATATATATATATATATATATATATATATATACATCTAATGCATGAGTACTCTTTAATAAATTAATGAATTCCTATAAACACAACTTATTATGTAATTCAAATTGGGAGAAGAGTTGAGGGCATGGAATCAAGAAAAGAATCAGGAAGAGAATTTCTAAAAGTAAAGTTTATTTTCTGTCAAATCTGGTAAAAAACCGTTTCTACGTTACCCACTCTCTCTCTCTCTTTGGAACCAATTACTTTATCCCATAAGGTCCAAATGCAAAGAAAAAACTCGTCTGTTCGATGTGATACTTACTCTTCTTCGGAAGTCTCGTCGCTGCTACTGAAATGTGTAAAGTAGTCGTTATAAAAGGTTCTGTTGTAGCAAAGTACTTTTATCTGGCTCTCGAACCCAGCTTGGGAATTTTACCCTTGAATTTTACCCTTGCTGCTAGTGTTCAGGAGGCACTTGAGTTCTTTGATATGTGGCCTAAGATTTTTTAATTATATTTTTGCGGCAGGGAAATCATGATTGTCGTAACTGTTTAAATGGTGGTTTTGGAAATTAAAATCTAAAATGGATAATCATCTGGATACGAATAATAATTAACTTAAAGCCAGAATTCGTTTTAACGAGTTAGTCCGGTAGAGGAACAGGCCCTTATTTTTAAACCCCATATTATTTACAATGATACGAAACGCATTATTTGTCAAGGCTCTCACACAGACACTCATCGGAGGGACTGTTGTCTTCTCTGGAACGGATTGGAAATGTCGATATATTCAAATCCCAACAGAGCTCATTAGGATGATTTAAAATCAAGAATTGTGGGGCAATTGCTATCAGTTTCATTATTTCATTATATCTAACGATTCATTTGCTTTATTTAATATCCCCATCTTTTCTACTTTTGCTGCAGTGTAAGATAAAATATCCTCTTAGAGTCACTCTTGTCCTAGCAAGATAGGTGTATTTAAGCGTTGTACTGTTTTCACTGCATTAGTTAAGGGGTAGTAGTGTGCAGCTATTATTAACTTTTATACTATTATTGTGTTAATCAATAAGACAACTTCCGACCACCAGCATGAGGGGTGCATCATGGCCTATTAATAAATACATGAATTGATGCTTAAATAAATGAATGAAATGAAAGAAAATGAAGGAGCCGATGCTTCTTATTCTTACCTTTCCTCAGGGGATTCCGGGCTTTCACTGAAAGATATATGATATATATTATGTTACATATGTATATATATATATGTACATATATATAATATATATATTATTTATATTATCTATATTATTATTATCATCACCACCCCCTTCCTTACCTGCTCTCAGGTGAATTTTCTTCTTCTGTGCTGGAGCTGAAAAATATATATATTTTGTGTTATTTACTTTCAGCCCTGCCATATTAAGATATTTGTGTTTGCGTTATAGATAAAAGTTTAGATTAAGATAACATTCAGTAATAGTTTATTTTTGGTAGTGTATGCATTTTTTTTTCTTTTTTTCGTTTTGTTAGTTTTAATTTCGTGGAGAAAAATGCTGTTGCTCCCCTACCCTATAGCTACATCAGTCAATCGCTTTCTCTTTATTTTTTTGTACACATAAACAAACTCATACACACATACACAAACACACATGTGTGCGTGTGTGTGTGTGTATATCTGTGTATGTGTTTGCGTGTGTGTGTGTGTTCATAGTTCCTTCCATAGAGAGAAAAAATATCAACACCCCACAGCGCTTGTAACACTATCTTTATTTAAGTAGAAACCATTCATTGAATCTGGTAAAGGACCATCCCTCTCGAAAATAATTCTGTGGGTTGTGACACTTACCTTTCGACTGAACCGCTTCTGCCGTTTCTGAAATATGTAGGGGAATACGTTATTATTCAGGTTCTTGTGTAGTTACACAACTGCCTATATCTAGAAATCCTAGAAGTGATATCTAGCTTTATTGCCATGATAAGATTTTGTTTTTTACTATATATATAGTATATATATGCGTATATATGTATATATATACACATACATATACATACACACACATATAAATATATATATATACATTGAATTTCAAATTATGATATCAGATTTAAAAAAAAAATCATACATGTTCAATATTCATACAACTGATGTATAACAAGTTTTCATTATCATTACATTGTTACTTACTCATTACTTGAACCTCCTTTTCCATTTCCTCTAAAGAAAGGGTTAAACTCTTTGAAAATATTCCTAATATTGTTTATTATTTTTGTTGTTCTATAATATGTAATCTCTGTTTCCTAATAATATCTAGCTACTATTTCCAGCAATACTATTTGATTGTCGTTATTATTATTATTATTATCATTGATGTTATTATTATTATGATTATTATTATTATTATTATTACCATCATTATTACCATTATCATTCTTATTACTACTACTATTACTATTACTGTTAATGTTATTGTTACCACAATCATTATGTTTTTTTGTTATCATTCTTATTATTACTGCTAATACTACTACTGCTACGACTATTACTAGTACTATTATTATCATTCTTATCATTCTTATTATTAATGTTATCATAACAACCTTTATTACTACCGTTATTATTATTACTGTTATTGTGATCATTATCACTATTACTATTATTACTATCGTCATCGTTATTGTCATTGTACTGATAATACATACATTTCTTTCCCTCTCCCGTTGCCTCTGGAATAAACAGAAAATGTTTAAAATAACATATTTTCAGAATTAATTGAAGAACTGTGGAACTAAGAATATGTATTGCTGTTTTAGTCTTATTTTAAGCGGAGTTTATGATACTTTATTCAAAGTATGGTTACTGTTGTTTACATTGTGTGCATGTGCACATATGCTATATATATATATATTTGTGTGTGTGTATGTTTGTGTATGTGTGTGTATCTGTGTGTGTGTGTGTTAGTATGTGTGTTAGTGTTAGTGTGTGTGTGTATGAGTGTGTGTATGTGTATGTGTGTGTGTGAATGTGTGTATGTGTGTGTGTGTGTGCGTCTTTGTGTGTCTTTGAACACACACACAAACACACAAACACCCACACACACATATATATATAAATTCACATAATGCATATATATATGCATGTAGATACATATAGATATATGTATATATATACACATATATACATATATCTATACATATACATATATAATCAGTATACCTTAATATCTTTTAACTAGGTTCACTCAAAGCACAACCAAAAGCTTAGGTACTTACGTCAAAGGCACGGCGGAACACACGCCCATGACAGACACCAGAAGAAGGAGCCAGAATGACAGCCTGTGGAAACGAGCCATTAAAACGTTAGATAAATATCACAGTGGTAGGAGAGGCAGGTTTCCTGAAGGTCCTCTTTTTTTTCTTCTTTTTTTTTAGCTTTGATTGGAGCAGAGAGAAAGAATGAGAGAGAGGGAGAGGGAGAGAGAGATAAAGAAGGAGAGAGGAAAAAAAGAGAGAGGGAGAGCGAGAGAGATTGGGAAAAAGAAAAGAGAGAGAAAAAATGCACACATATATATATACATTTATTATATATATATATATATATATATATGTATATATACGTATATATATATATATATATATATATTTACATACATATATATATATATATATACATATATATACACACACACATATGTACATATATTCAAATATCACCTCATTTTGAAGACTTGATTTCCGAAGCGGCGAGAGATTCTGGGAAGAGAGAGGTCTTCACACTCAACAGAGTTCGACTCCAATGATTGGGCTGAAGGCGTCAAGGGAGCATTTATATCGTCCAGAAAACACGCAGGTTAGCTAATTTGTATGCAGAAAGTGGGTGTGTGGGCGGGGGTGAGATTAAACGTATTCGTTATGTAAATTGTATGTGTATATATAATCACACACACACACACGCACACACGCATGTATATATATGTATATATATATGTATATATATACACATATATATATATAAACACATGTATTCGCATATATATATATATATATGTATATGTCTGTGTGTGTGTGTGTACACAAGCACACATATAAGTGTACATATATATATACATATATACACATAAACACGCACACACACATATGTATATACATATATATATATACACATATGTATACACACACATATACATATATATTTACATACATATATACATACATACACGCACACACACATAGATATATATATACGTATATATATGTATACACACATATACATATATATTCACATAAATATATACATACATACACGCGCACACACACACAAACATATACATAAAATATAACATATACATACATACATACATATATATATAGAGATAAATATACATATATACATATCTATACATATGTATGTATGTATGCACACACACACACAAATATATATATGTATGTGTGTGTGTGTATTTACACACCCGCATATGTTTATATACATACATATATACATGTATATACATATGTATGTATATATATACATACACACACATCTGTGTGCATGTGTGTATAAAACATATATATATATATATATATATATATATATATATATATATATATATATATACATATATATGAATCTGTAAATACACACATAGTGGTGTATTTAGTGACGCTCCCCCCCTTCTTAGTTTGCTGAATTGCTCCCCATTAGAGGGTAATGGACGATATGCAAATGTATGTGAATGATAAACACAGTTTAAGTACGGTTTTCCTAATTTTTGTAATGGAATATCGGTAGAATTACATGTGCTTATACCTAAATGTCCATTGATATGTATATGTGTATAGGATAGTATATACCTTGCCACGTAGACTACAGAAGTCTGGCTTGCCTATTAAGCCCCTGACTACGACGCGCCACTTTAAGGCTATCCCGGTCTTCTGTGACGTGCCACTTAAGGCTTTCCCGGTGTACTACGACGCGCCACTGAAAGGCTTTCCCGGTAAATTCTGACTCGCCAGTTTAAGGCTTTCCCGGTATACTAGGATGCTACGTTAAGGCTTTCCCGGTAAACAACTAAGCGCCATCTAAGGCTTTCCCGGTAAATTCCGACGCGCCACTTGAGGCTTTCCCGGTATTCTGTGACGTGCCACTTAAGGCTTTCCCGGTGTACTACGACGCGCCACAGAAAGGCTTTCCCGGTAAATTCTGACTTGCCAGTTTAAGGCTTTCCCGGTATACTACGATGCTACGTTAAGGCTTTTCCGGTAAACTACAAAGCGCCATCTAAGGCTTTCCCGGTAAATTTCGAAACGCAATTTAAAGTTTTCCCATATTTATATGAATATAAATATAACTAGGTACATATAAATACATATGTATATATGTAAAATATATAAATATATGTACATACACATATATCCATATAAGTATAAAGGTGAATATGTATATATAAATATATATGTATAGATATACTTATATCTATACATATATATTTACATATACATACTCTATTTATATTTATATGGATACATATGTATATACATACGTATGTTTATATATTTTACATATATACATATGTATTTATATGTACATATTCATATCTATATTCATATATATATGTATATGTGTGTGTGTGCGCGCGTGTGTGTGTATCTATGTATATATGTATATGTATATATGTATCTATAATTTTGTGTATATATATATGTATGTGTATATGACTGTATTTGTATATATAGACATGTATATATGCATATATATATACATACACATGTGTATATATTTATATGTATATGTATACATATGTATACATGTTTATGTATATATATACATATATATGCATATAAATATATACATATACACACACACATATATATATATATATATAAATCTGTGTGTGTGAGTGTGCGCGCAGTGTACACACACACACACACACACACACATATATATATATATATATATATATATATATATATATATATATATATATGAATATATATATATGTAAATATATATATGAATATATATATATATATAAATATATAAATGAATATATACATAAATATATATATATATATATATATATATATATATATATATATATATATCTGTGTGTGTGTGTGTGTGCTCGCATGGGTGTATATACATATATATAAATATATATATAAATATATATATATATATGAATATATATATATATAGATGTATATATGAATATATATATAAGTACAAATATATATATTTGTATGTGTGTTCGTGTGCGTGTGTGTGTGTGTGCGCGCGCGCGCATGTGTGTGTGGAACCGCCCTATCTTTGTCAGTAACGAAAAGTTTCTATGTTGTTTTTTAACAAAACAATCCTTCCTTCTTTGGCAAGTTTCCTTCCTTCTCCATTGCCTCTAATCACAAGTTGAAATTTCACTTGAAAGGTAGAAAAGATCACCGTAGTACGCTTGAAAAAAGGTCCTGCAAGGAACACTGTTTAGCCTGATGGTTATTAGTGACATCTAAAAAATGAAATTGTTTATTTGTGAGTTTTTATTTTCTGTGTTGCTGTGTGTGTTTTTTTATGAGTGTTATATTTTCTGTGTTTGTACGTGTGTTTGTTTGTGTGTGCGTATATGTGTGTGCATGAATATGTGTTATTGTTATTTTACAGTTATTGGTGACTTATCGTGGAGAGCAGAACATACCGGCGCTACACAGGTGCTCTACACATACATGTAACACTGCTCGCTTGTGAGTCAGTAAGTGCCTGCGTATGTGTGAATACGTCGCGCTTGTATGTGTGTATGAGTGCATGCCTGCGTTCAAATATATATAAACACAAAAACACACAAACATAAACATACACACACACAAACACGCACACACATATAAATATGAATAAATATTAACTGCTCAATTGTGAATCAATAAGTGTTTGTGTATATGTACATACGTGCGCGCGTGTATGTGTATATGAGTGCATTTATATATATATAAGCACACACACACATATATATACATACCTATATATAAACACACTCACACATACACACGTACACACACACACACACAAGCACAAACACAAGCACATACACACTCACAAACACACACATATATGTACACACACGCACACACACACAGACACACACAAACACATGCACTCACACATATATATACATATATATAAATGTATTATATATAATGTATATACATGTATATATACATATATATGAATATACAAATATAGATGTATATACATATACATATATATCTATATACGTATATAGATAGATAGACACACACACACAAACATACACACAGAAACACACAAACACATATATATAAGCATATATATATATATGTATATATACACATATATCAAATATATATATATATATATTGACGCAAACACAGCAACGTGTACACAGGGATGAAAAGGAAAACAGCCACATTAAGAAATGATACGAGTTCCTGTTCTAAGAATAATAAACCGAAATGGATGATCCATTTGTATATGTATATATATGTGTGTGCGTGTGTGTAGACAGAGAGAGAGAGATGTAAACAGATAGATAGATTAGCAGGTAGGATGGTAGATAGGCAGGTAGACAGCCTTATAGCTAAATTCATATATACATGTGAATTTTACGTTAGCACTTATGCATAGAGATATTAAAGTATATGAGCATGAAAAAAACAACAGTTCAATAAGCAACAGTTTTTATTAATCACAGCAAGGACAAAGAGCAATGTGGAAGAACTTTTACCTCACAGACACACCTGTATTGAGGATAATTAGGTAACAGGGAGTCTTAAAGTGGGGTATGTGTTGTTTATATTGGATGTCAAAAGTAGACCCATTCTATATGGTTCGTACATGGTTAGTACTGGATGGACAGTGTACGACATATGCTGAAGCTGATGATAAGCATGTCCATATATTAGCAGTAAGAGATTCTAGGTTACTTATTCGTACAGCTCATTGCTGATTACACGGTACATGCGAATCGGTTTCGAAGACCTCCTGTGAAACTGTTGGTTGCGTTCGACCACTTTCGTTAAGGAGCAACGGTCGTTGTTTGAAGGGTCGTGGTGGTTTCTAATGGGGCTGAAGTGGTCGGCTCCAAGGTGGTCGTGGCTGAACTAGGAGCGAGTGAAGATTGTGTAGTTCCGTCGTCGCAGGATAACTCCTCACTTGAATCCCATGGTCCCTCATGACTGGAATCCCATGATCCCCCATGACTCGAAAACCTGTAGTTAAATGATTTTGTCTTACTGATGAAATGGGAGAGGGAAGGGATCTTCCTAAATACATATTAAATAAAGAATGTACAATCCCACACATGTACAATATTTATGTATATATATAGACAGGCAGATAGATATAGATAGATACAGACAGATAGATAGATAGTGAGAGAGAGAGATAGCGATAGAGAGAATATATATATGTATCCTTACCAGTGGCGATGGGGCGATGCCTGCACCACCGCCAGAATTCCAAACAGCACTAAGAAGGCGAAGCTCACTCTGGAAAAAATACACACGGAAATAGCAACACATAAATACTAATAATATTGATCTAAGAACGCCCGAGAGAAATAATTCATTAGTTTATTGACTCTGCGGGTGTAGGTAGTGATAAGAATAATTAAATGATTTTAGATATTTCGATGAATTGAATGATGGATATAGTGAGATTAATTGATACTGATTGATTAGTTTCAGCGTTGCAGCAGAGTCATCATGAGTGAAAACGAATTAACAATGGTCTCCCAATATGCCAATAACTGACATAAAAGTAAACTTACCAGAATGAACCTTTTCATATCAATATCCAGAGTTAGAAACACTTTCATACATTATTTATTCTCTGTTTGTATATTGCTTTATCTATTTACATCTCTTTCTCTCTTTCCCTTTATATACGTCAACACTCTCTTTCACTATCTCTGCATCTCTCTCTTGCTATCTTTGCATCTCTCTATCTATTTTGCCCTCTCTGCATCTCTCTCTTGCTATCTTTGCATCTCTCTATCTATTTTGCCCTCTCTGCATCTCTCTCTCTCTCTCTATCTATCCACCTCCCTCTAAGTCCCAGTAGACAGCAGCCTAACACGAAATGTCCTTCCTACCTCATCTTTGCTGCCGAGGAAGACGAATCCGACTGACCACCAGAGGCCACGCATGCCTTTTATACCTACTTCTGTTGTCCACGCTTTGTGCTCCTGAGTTCTACGAAGTCACGTTCGGAATTTATGGCATCGACTAATGTGAAGCCATTAGCTTTAATCAAAGCCTATAGATACTTTATTAACTTTTTAATCTCTCTCTCTCTCCTATTTTTACTCTCTCAATTATATATATGTGTAGAGATAGGCAGATAGAAAAATAAGATAGATGTATGACGTATACAGTTGTATATACACACACACAATCACTCGCGCGCGCGTGTGTGTTTATATATATGTAAATAGATACAGGTACATATGTATGCAGATATACATATACATATATACATATATATGTATATATATACATATATACATTATATATACATATACAAATATATGTATATATATATATTTATAGATACATATATTATATGTATATGTATATAAATATATATGTGCGCGTGTGTGTGTGTGTTTATATTTATATGTTTATATTATGTGTGTATCTGTATATCCATATATATATATATATATATATATATATATATATATATATATGTATTTATATACATACACACACAGATATATATGCATATATACATATGCGTATATATATGTATTTATAGTATATATACATATATATATATAGTATGTATACATATATATATAGTATGTATACACATATATATAGTATGTATACATACACACACACACATATATATCTTTGTGTGCGTGTGGTATGTGGATGTATGTGTATATCTACATATGTATATACATATATATGCTTCATTTATATGGACATATATGTATATATATACATATACATATATATCCATAGATATATTTAATATATATATACATATAGATATGGTTATATACATATTTGTGTGTGTGTTTGTTTGCTAACATGTTATTCATTTGTCTATTTCAAAATTCATTCATAATTCATAATTCACTCTTACTTTATTCTCGTTGCCGTCTTTTCCTTTCTTTTGTGCCTCTTTATTGTATTATAATTTTTTTTTTTTATTTATCCTTCTTGTTCCGTTTTTCTTGGGGGGGGGGGGGGCAGATAAACGAACACGGCTATTCATCAATTTATTTCATATCAGAAACGTGGATCCAGTTCATTTATTTAATGAACAACAATAGATTTTGTGCACAATACGATAAACCAAAAAACAGTTGAAAATAATGAAAGATTCTTCAGGTCGTTGTCAAGATTTCTCAATATTTGGGCACCTTCCACCGATGCGTAAATGCTACCTTTCTTTATTCTTGATTTATTTCCTCTTGTTTATTTGCATATTCATTAGACCATTCACTGATTTGCAAAAAGATGTCGGGATTGAATCCTATTTAGAACTTCGGGTACGTAAGGGTGTGAGGCTCTCTGGCGGTGTTCTGGCATCGGGGTCGGTGCCACGCGGCCAGAAGAGGAGGCATCTTAGGCTTTCTTGAGGACAGGCCTGTTGGACACAGTGGAGAGACGGGAGATAGGGTGATATAGGCATATAGGGATGTTTACGGGTGTGTGTACATACAAATAAACATCCATATATCTATGTAAACACACACACAGCACGCACACAGACACACACATATATATAAACATATATATATCTATATATCTATAGATATATATATGAAAATAACGTCACTACTTTATATTTCATGGTTATAGCACCCTCGACATAAATCAGTGTCTAACGACACAATAAGCAACGCAACAGCTGTGCCGGCAGCTCCTATCCTTCCACCGACCTCCTCAGTTTGTTGAGATCGAGATCATGTGCTGCGCTGATCCTTTTCCTGTGATAAAAGATAAGATGATTGCATAAGATGATGTTCCTTATCAGGGTAATCATTTCGTGGGTTTTTATACTGTGTGTATATATATGTATATATATACACATATATATTGTTTTTTTGTTTTGTTCATTCCATCACCGGTGCGGTGTTTGACGAACTGCTTGGCGCAATACTGACATCATGTAGTTGACTAGGACTTAATATTGAGAATCTCAGTTATTCTTGAATTTGGTTAAAGTGGCAGCCTTTCCCCCTCCTTCCCCCCTAGCCCTTAGCATGTGGCACTTACTTTGTGGAAGCAGTGCTCCTTATTATTGTTATTATTATTATTATTATTATCATTATTATTGTTATCATCATTATCATCATTATTATTGTTGTTGTTGTTATTATCATTATAAATTATTGTATTATCGTCATTATTATTCTTACCTTTAATATTGTCATTAATATCATTACTATTTCGTTATTATTATTATTATTATTATTATTATTGTCATTATCGTTATTGTTTTTATTATTATTATTATTGTTATTACCGTTATTGTTATTATCATTACTGTTATTATTACTATTATTATTCTCATTATTATTATTACTATTATTATTGTTATTGTTATTATCATTATTATCATTACCGTTACTATTATATTAACTATTATTTTTATTATTACAATCATCGCTGTCATTATTAATTTTATATTCATTAATATTATTACTACTAATATTATTATCACTATTAACGTTATTCTTATTATTATTATTATTATCATTGTTATTATAACTATTATCACTATTATAATGATATTAGTAAGGATTATTAATTTTATTACTATTATATGTTATTACTATTATATATTATTACTATTATATATTATTACTATTACTATCATTATCATTAATATTGTTATTACTATCATTATTATCATCATCATTATTATTATTATTATTATCATTGTTATTATTAATTATTATTGTTATAGTAAGAATTAATAATTTGATCATTATTTAAATACTATCATTATCATTATTATTATTATTATTATCATTATTATTATTATCATTATTACTATTACTATCATTAGAGGAGCATGAGGAATGTCATACTTACTCATTGGAAGGACTGCTGTCACTGCCACTGAAATTTATAAAGGGGGTCGTTATGAAGGGAGTCGTTATAAAAGGGATCGTTATAAAGGATACATAATGGGGTGATTATAAATGGAGTCATTATAAAGTCATTATAAGGGGTGGTTATGAGGGGGATCGTTATAAAGATACATAAATGGGTAGTTATTGAGGATTCATAAGCCGATGGTTAATTCTGTAAATATCTTTAGGCTTTTGATAAGAATTATCTTCCCTATTTGGTGGTTTTGGAAATGAAAATCTAAAATACATGACCAATTTCTATACCTAAAAGTAATTGTACGAATAATAGTTAACATAAAACCTATTATCATTATATCTTTCTCTTGGTTTAGTCCGGTAAAGGAAGTCCCTTATATCTAAGCCTTTTTTTTTCTTTTTTTTTTACTGTGGTACAAAACGCATTATCTAACAGGCTATCACACACGGGGATGCTGCCTGTGTCCCGTCAGGTTCTTCGAAGGGTCTGCTGTCTTGTGTGGAACGCATTGTTACCCATATATTCACTTTCTAACAGAGCTCATTGGGGTACATTTAGAATCAAGAATTGTGGGGATATTGATATTCTACTTTTGCAATGTGAGACAAAATTATCGTTCTTAGAGTCACCCTTGTCTTTTCACTACATTTGTTAAAGGGCGGTACTATACATTTAATATTCTGTTTAGCAATAATATTATTGTGTTGTTATATGATATTATCATGTCTTGCGTTACCCTCGCCCTCATCTTTGACAATAAATTAATCAACCAGACAAACTTCCTATTACCAGCATGAGGGGTGCATCATGGCCTATCATTAAATATATGAATTGATGTTTAAGTAAATGACTGAAATGAAAAGAAATGAAGGAGCCAATGCTTCTTATTCTTACCTGTCCCCAGATGATTCCGGGCTTTCACTGAAAGATATATGATATGTGTTATGTTATATATGTATGTATATATATATGTGTGTACATATATCATACATAATATGTATATTATATATATGTGTATAAGTTATATATAATATATATATTATATATATACATATATATGTATATCATATATATTATATATATAAATATAATGCGTGAGTACTATTTTAATAAATCAATGAATTTCCTATAAACACAACTTATTATGTAATTCAAATTGGGAGAGGAGCTGAGGGCATGAAATCAAGAAAAGAATGAGAAAGGGAATTTTTAAAAGCAAAGTTTACGTGTTACATCTGGTTAAGAACCGTCTTTGCGTCTTCTTTCCTTGGTACAAAACAATTACATTATAAGGTTCAAACGCAAGGAAAAATCGGCTGTGCGATGTGACACTTACCTTTCGCTGCTGCCTTTGCCCTTCTTCCTGAAATGCGTAAAGTAGCCGTTATAAAAGATTTTTTGTAGCAGTTTCTGTACTTTTATCTGGCTCTCGAACCAGGTTTGGGGCGAGGAATTTCACCCTTGCTACTAGTGTTCAGAAGGCAATTGAGTTCTTTGGTATGTGATCTAAGATTGAGTGAAATAATAATAACAAATATCTTAAGTGTTTTAAAGGGGAATTTCAACCTTACTATTCTTTATTATACTATTATTGTGTTAATCAATAAGACAACTTCCTATCGCCAGCATCAGGGGTGCATCATGGCCTATCAGTAAATACATGAACTGATGCTTAAATTAATGAATGAAATAAAAGAAAATGAAGTAACCGATACTTCTTATTCTTACCTGTCCTCAGGTGATTCCGTGCTTTCACTGAAAGATATATGATATGTGTTATGTAATATATGTATGTATGTATATATATATGTACATATATCATATATGATATATATATTATATATATATATATATATATATATATATATGTACATATATTAAATATATGTATATTATGTCTATTATATATATACATATAGTACATTAAATAATTTCCAATAAACACAACTTATTATGTAATTCAAACTGGGAGACGAACTAATTTCGAAAAACTAAGTTTACTTGTCACAACTGTTCTTCCGCCATCCTCTCTTCCACTTTCTTTGATACAAAACAATTACTTTATAAGGTTCAAACGCAAGGAAAAATCGTCTGTGGGCTGTGACACTTACTCTGTGCTGTCATTTTCGCTGCTGCTACTGAAATGTGTAAAGAAGCCATTATAATAGATTTGTTTGTAGCAGTTTCTGTACTTTTATCTGAAATAATAGTATTAAGTGTCTTTATTGTTTGTTGAATTGATGGTTTTGGAAATGAAAATCGAAAACGGATGACCATGTTATATACGTACAAGGAATTGTACAATTAATAGTTAACATAGAATCATCTGTTGTATCGTTGTATCAGTTTTGTATTATTTAAAATCAAGAATTGTGGGGCTATTGATATCAATTATTTCATTATATTTAACCCATGGGGAAAATGCTGTGCTCATTTTTTTTTATATTTTCGAGAAATGTCTCTGTACATAGAGGACTCTGCTAGTGCATAGCCACAAAGGAGACAGTTAGTAGATCTTGAGACCTTACCTGATTTCACCTTTCCTTGAATTGGCGGGAAAAAGGTATTTTTTCTAGTGCTATAAATATCGATTTCGTTATTTTTATTATAAACGTTATGATTACTATAACGTTATAAACATTCGTAACAACAACATAAGATAACGTAAAATATTTCCATAAATCAATGAAAAGGGGAACGGGTGAGACAGGCAGTACCAATAACTGTACAAGTGGTTCATTGGTGACTTAGTACAAGTATAGCCATATATGTGTAAAAAACAATTAAACAAGTAAACTCACAGTTGGCATGGCATATACGTAGGGGGCAGTACTATACAGCTACTATTATCTAGTATTATTTAGTTTCGTGTTATCATCATAGTAGTTTATTATCACTGTTACTGTAATTATCATCATCATGATACTAACCTCGAACTCATATTTGACAATAACATTAATCAATGAGACAAACTTCCTACCGCCAGCGTGAGGGGTGCGTCTTGGCCTATCAGTAAATATATGAATTGATGCTTAAATAAATGAATTAAATGAAAGAAAATGAAGGAGTCGATGCTTATCATTCTTACCTCTTCTCAGGTGATTCCGGGTTGTGTTGTTATATATGTGTGTGTATGTATATATATAAATATGTACATATATATGTATGTTATATGTATCATTTATATTATATTTATATACACATGTACATATAATGAGTTGAGAGCATAAAATCAAGAAAAGAACGAGAAAGAGAATTCCTAAAAGTAAAGTTTATTTTCTGTCAAGTCTGGTAAAGAACCGGTTTTACGTTATCCACTCTTCCTCTCTCTTTGGAACAAAAAACTACTTTATCCCATAAGATTCAAATGCAAAGGAAAACTCGTCTGTGGGCTGTGACACTTACTCTTCGCTGGTACTTTCGCCGCTGCTCCTGAAATGTGTAAAGAAGCCATTATAATAGATTTGTAGCAGTTTCTATACTTTTATCTGGCTCTCAAACAAGACTGGGTAAAATAATAGTATTTAGTATCTTTATTGTTTGTTTAATTGGTGGTTTTGGAAATGAAAATCGAAAATGGAAGACCATGTAATATACCTACAAGCATTTGTACGACTAATATGATGTTAACATAAAACCAGCTGTTGTATCGTTGTATCAGTTTAGTCCGGTAAAGGAACAGTCCCTTATTTTTTACCCCTATTTTTTAATTGTGGTACAAAACGCATTTTTTGACCGGGCTTTCATACAGACAGACACTTACTCTTCTGAGGGACTGTTGTCTTCTCTGGAACGCATTGTAGATGTCGATATTATTATATTCTAACAGAGCTCGTTATGATGCATTTAAAATAAAAAATTGTAGGGCCGTTGATATCAATTATTTCATTATATTTAACACAGGGGGAAATGCTGTGCTCATTTTTTATATTTTTTGTGAAATGTCTTTGTACATAGATAGCTCTGCTAGTGCTTAGCCACAACGGAGTCAAATATTGATGGTGTTATTGTTATTATAAACATTATAATTACTATAATGTTATAAACATTTGTAAGAGCAAAAGAAGATAACGTAAAATATTTTCGTAAATCAATGAAAAGGGTGAACGGGCGGGACAGGCAGTACTCATAAGTGGTGATTTAGTACAAGTGGTTCATTGGTGAAAGTACAAGTGTAGCTATCTATGTGAAAAAACAAACAAACAAACAAACAAGTAAACTCACAGTGGGCATGGCATGTACATACATTTTCATGTTATCATCATATTAGTTTATTATCACTGTTACCGTATCATCCTTTATCACCAGTCACTCACCATGATACTACCCACGAACTCATATTTGACAACAGCATTAATCAATGAGACAAATTTCCTATCACCAGCATGAGGGGTGCATTATGGCCTATCAGTAAATAGCTGAATTGATGCTTAAATAAATGAATGAAATGAAAGAAAATGAAGGAGTCAATGCTGATTATTCTTACCTCTTCTCAGGTGATTCCGGGCTTCCACTGAAAGATATAAAAGATATATGTTATGTTATAAACATATGTATAGATATTTGTATATATTACGGAAAACAATTTGGAAGAAGAGTTGAGAGCATGAAATCAAGAAAAGAACGAGAAAGAGAATTCCTAAAAGTAAAATTTATTTTCTGTCAAGTCTGGTAAAGAACCGGTTTTACGTTATTCACTCTTCCTCTCTCTTTGGAACAAAAGACTACATTATCCCATAAGATTCAAATGCAAAGGAAAAACTCGTCAGTGGAATGTGATACTTACTCTTCGGTGGTACTCTCTTCGCTGCTACTGAAATGTGTAAAGTAATCGTTATAAAAGGTTCTGTTGTAGTAAAGTAGTTTTATCTGGCTCTCGAACCCAGCTTAGGACGAGGAATTTCATCCTTGTTGCTAGTGTTTAGGAGGCATTTGATATGTTATTGATACGTGACCTAAGATTTTTAAAGTATATTTTTACAGCAGGAAAAGGATGACTGTAGTACCTTTATTATTTTAATTGGTGGTTTTGGAAATGAAATTCTAAAATGGATAATCCTGTGGATAATCAGGTTATATACCTAGAAGCAGTTAACTTTAAACCTAAATTCGTTTTAACGGTTTAGTCTGGTAAAAGAAGAGGCCATTATTTTTAAGCCCTATAATTTTACAATGATACAAAACGCATTATTTGACAGGGCTCTCACACACAGACACTTACTCTTCAGAGGGACTGTTGTCTTCTCTGGAACGGATGTGAGATATCGATATATTCAAATTCTAACAGAGCTCATTAGAATGCATTTAAATTCAAGAATTGTGGCGCTATTGATATCAGTTATATTATTTAATGAGTCATTCACTTTATTTGATATCCGCACTTTTTTCTACTTTTGCTGCAAAGTAGATAAAATGATCGTGTTAAAGTCACTCTTGTCTTCGCAAGATAGGTGTATTTAAGTGTCCTGTTTTCATTGCATTAGTTATGGGGCAGTACTATGCAGCTACTATTCTTTTCTACTCTCTATTATACTATTATTGTGTTTATCAATAAGACAACTTCCTACCACCAACATGAGGGGTGCATCATGGCCTGTCAGTAAATACATGAATTGATGCTTAAATAAATGATTGGAATGAAAGAAAATGTAGGAGCCAACGCTTCTTATTCTTACCTGTCCTCAGGTGATTCCGGGCTTTCTCTGAAAGATATATATGTGATATGTTACATATGTATGTATATGTATATATATAATATATATATATGTATTATATTATATATGTATATTATATATATGTATATTATATATATATATATATATGTATATTATATATATGTATATTATATATATATATATGTATATTATATATATATATATGTATATTATATATATATGTATTATATCATATGTGTATATATGCACATATAATGAGTGAGTACTCTTTAATAAATCAATGAATTTCCTATAAACAGAGGAGAGGAGCTGAGGGCACGAGATCAAGAAAAGAATGAGAAAGAGAATTTTTAAAAGTAAAGTTTACTTTGCTTTTAAAAATTAAGTTTACTTGTCACATCTGATCAAGAACCGTTTTTGCGTCATTCTCCGTTCCTCTTTCTTTGGTACAGAAGAATTGCATTATAAGGTTCAAACACAAGGAAAAATCGTCTGTGGGTTGTGACACTTACTCTTCGCTGTCACTTTCGCCGCTCCTGAAATGAGTAAAGAAGCCATTATAATAGATTTGTTTGTAGAAGTTTCTGTACTTTTATCTGGCTCTCAAACCAGGCTTGGGGCGAGGAATTTCACCCTTGCTACTACTGTTCAGGAGGCAATCGAGTTCTTTAATACGTGATCTAAGACAGGGTAAAATAATAGTATTTAGTATCTTTATTGTTTGTTTAATTGGTGGTTTTGGAAATGAAAATAAAAAAAAATAGATGACCATGTAATATACCTGCAAGGAATTGTACGACTAATAGTTAACATAAAACCAGCTGTTGTATCGTTGTATCAGTTTAGTCCGGTAAAGGAACAGTCCCTTATTTTTAACTCCTATTTTTTAATTGTGGTACAAAACGCATTTTTTGACCGGGCTTTCATACAGACAGACACACTTACTCTTCTGAGGGACTGTTGTCTTCTCTGGAACGCATTGTAGAAGTCGATATTATCATATTCTAACAGAGCTCGTTATGATGCATTTAAACTCAAGAATTGTGGGGCCGTTGATATCAATTATTTCATTATATTTAACACATGGGGGAAATGCTGTGCTCATTTTTTATATTTTTTGTGAAATGTCTGTACATAGATAGCTCTGCTAGTGCTTAGCCACAACGGAGTCAAATATTGATGGTGTTATTTTTATTATAAACATTATAATTGCTATAATGTTATAAACATTTGTAAGAGCAAAAGAAGATAACGTAAAATATTTTCGTAAATCAATGAAAAGGGTGAACGGGCGGGACAGGCAGTACTCATAAGTGGTGCTTTAGTACAAGTGGTTCATTGGTGAAAGTACAAGTGTAGCTATCTATGTGAAAAAAAAAAAAACAAGTAAACTCACAGTGGGCATGGCATTTACATACATTTTCATGTTATCATCATATTAGTTTATTATCACTGTTACCGTATCATCCTTTATCACCAGTCACTCACCATGATACTACCCACGAACTCATATTTGACAACAGCATTAATCAATGAGACAAATTTCCTATCACCAGCATGAGGGGTGCATTATGGCCTATCAGTAAATAGCTGAATTGATGCTTAAATAAATGAATGAAATGAAAGAAAATGAAGGAGTCAATGCTGATTATTCTTACCTCTTCTCAGGTGATTCCGGGCTTCCACTGAAAGATATAAAAGATATATGTTATGTTATAAACATATGTATAGATATTTGTATATATTACGGAAAACAATTTGGAAGAAGAGTTGAGAGCATGAAATCAAGAAAAGAACGAGAAAGAGAATTCCTAAAAGTAAAGTTTATTTTCTGTCAAGTCTGGTAAAGAACCGGTTTTACGTTATTCACTCTTCCTCTCTCTTTGGAACAAAAGACTACATTATCCCATAAGATTCAAATGCAAAGGAAAAACTCGTCAGTGGAATGTGATACTTACTCTTCGGTGGTACTCTCTTCGCTGCTACTGAAATGTGTAAAGTAGTCGTTATAAAAGGTTCTGTTGTAGTAAAGTCGTTTTATCTGGCTCTCGAACCCAGCTTAGGACGAGGAATTTCATCCTTGTTGCTAGTGTTCAGGAGGCATTTGATATGATATTGATATATGACCTAAGATTTTTTAAAGTATATTTTTTACAGCAAGAAAATAATGACTGTAGTACCTTTATTGTTTTAATTGGTGGTTTTGGAAATGAAATTCTAAAATGGATAATCCTGTGGATAATCATGTTATATACCTAGAGGCAGTTGTACGAACAATAATTAACTTAAAACTTAAATTCGTTTTAACGGTTTAGTCCGGTAAAGGAACAGGCCCTTATTTTTAAACCCAATAATTTTACAATGATACAAAATGCATTATTTGATAGGGCTCTCACACACAGACACTTACTCTTCAGAGGGACTGTTGTCTTCTCTGGAACGGATGTGAGATATCGATATATTCAAATTCTAACAGAGCTCATTAGAATGCATTTAAATTCAAGAATTGTGGCGCTATTGATATCAGTTATATTATTTAATGAGTCATTCACTTTATTTGATATCCGCACTTTTTCCTACTTTTGTTGTAGATAAAATGATCGTGTTAAAGTCACTCTTGTCTTCGCAAGATAGGTGTATTTAAGTGTCCTGTTTTCATTGCATTAGTTATGGGGCAGTACTATGCAGCTACTATTCTTTTCTACTCTCTATTATACTATTATTGTGTTTATCAATAAGACAACTTCCTACCACCAACATGAGGGGTGCATCATGGCCTGTCAGTAAATACATGAATTGATGCTTAAATAAATGATTGGAATGAAAGAAAATGTAGGAGCCAACGCTTCTTATTCTTACCTGTCCTCAGGTGATTCCGGGCTTTCTCTGAAAGATATATATGTGATATGTTACATATGTATGTATATGTATATATATAATATATATATATGTATTATATTATATATGTATATTATATATATGTATATTATATATATATATATATATATATATATATATATATGTGTATATTATATATATGCATATTATATATATATATATGTATATTATATATATATGTATTATATCATATGTGTATATATGCACATATAATGAGTGAGTACTCTTTAATAAATCAATGAATTTCCTATAAACAGAGGAGAGGAGCTGAGGGCACGAGATCAAGAAAAGAATGAGAAAGATAATTTTTAAAAGTAAAGTTTACTTTGCTTTTAAAAATTAAGTTTACTTGTCACATCTGATCAAGAACCGTTTTTGCGTCATTCTCCTCTTTCTTTGGTACAGAACAATTGCATTATAAGGTTCAAACACAAGGAAAAATCGTCTGTGGGTTGTGACACTTACTCTTCGCTGTCACTTTCGCCGCTCCTGAAATGAGTAAAGAAGCCATTATAATAGATTTGTTTGTAGAAGTTTCTGTACTTTTATCTGGCTCTCAAACCAGGCTTGGGGCGAGGAATTTCACCCTTGCTACTACTGTTCAGGAGGCAATCGAGTTCTTTAATACGTGATCTAAGACAGGGTAAAATAATAGTATTTAGTATCTTTATTGTTTGTTTTATTGGTGGTTTTGGAAATGAAAATAAAAAAAATAGATGACCATGTAATATACCTGCAAGGAATTGTACGACTAATAGTTAACATAAAACCAGCTGTTGTATCGTTGTATCAGTTTAGTCCGGTAAAGGAACAGTCCCTTATTTTTAACTCCTATTTTTTAATTGTGGTACAAAACGCATTTTTTGACCGGGCTTTCATACAGACAGACACTTACTCTTCTGAGGGACTGTTGTCTTCTCTGGAACGCATTGTAGATGTCGATATTATCATATTCTAACAGAGCTCGTTATGATGCATTTAAACTCAAGAATTGTGGGGCCGTTGATATCAATTATTTCATTATATTTAACACATGGGGGAAATGCTGTCCTCATTTTTTATATTTTTTGTGAAATGTCTGTACATAGATAGCTCTGCTAGTGCTTAGCCACAACGGAGTCAGATATTGATGGTGTTATTTTTATTATAAACATTATAATTGCTATAATGTTATAAACATTTGTAAGAGCAAAAGAAGATAACGTAAAATATTTTCGTAAATCAATGAAAAGGGTGAACGGGCGGGACAGGCAGTACTCATAAGTGGTGCTTTAGTACAAGTGGTTCATTGGTGAAAGTACAAGTGTAGCTATCTATGTGAAAAACAAAACAAAAAAAACAAGTAAACTCACAGTGGGCATGGCATTTACATACATTTTCATGTTATCATCATATTAGTTTATTATCACTGTTACCGTATCATCCTTTATCACCAGTCACTCACCATGATACTACCCACGAACTCATATTTGACAACAGCATTAATCAATGAGACAAATTTCCTATCACCAGCATGAGGGGTGCATTATGGCCTATCAGTAAATAGCTGAATTGATGCTTAAATAAATGAATGACATGAAAGAAAATGAAGGAGTCAATGCTGATTATTCTTACCTCTTCTCAGGTGATTCCGGGCTTCCACTGAAAGATATAAAAGATATATGTTATGTTATAAACATATGTATAGATATTTGTATATATTACGGAAAACAATTTGGAAGAAGAGTTGAGAGCATGAAATCAAGAAAAGAACGAGAAAGAGAATTCCTAAAAGTAAAGTTTATTTTCTGTCAAGTCTGGTAAAGAACCGGTTTTACGTTATTCACTCTTCCTCTCTCTTTGGAACAAAAGACTACATTATCCCATAAGATTCAAATGCAAAGGAAAAACTCGTAAGTGGAATGTGATACTTACTCTTCGGTGGTACTCTCTTCGCTGCTACTGAAATGTGTAAAGTAGTCGTTATAAAAGGTTCTGTTGTAGTAAAGTCGTTTTATCTGGCTCTCGAACCCAGCTTAGGACGAGGAATTTCATCCTTGTTGCTAGTGTTTAGGAGGCATTTGATATGATATTGATATATGACCTAAGATTTTTTAAAGTATATTTTTTACAGCAAGAAAATAATGACTGTAGTACCTTTATTGTTTTAATTGGTGGTTTTGGAAATGAAATTCTAAAATGGATAATCCTGTGGATAATCATGTTATATACCTAGAGGCAGTTGTACGAACAATAATTAACTTAAAACTTAAATTCGTTTTAACGGTTTAGTCCGGTAAAGGAACAGGCCCTTATTTTTAAACCCAATAATTTTACAATGATACAAAATGCATTATTTGACAGGGCTCTCACACACAGACACTTACTCTTCAGAGGGACTGTTGTCTTCTCTGGAACGGATGTGAGATATCGATATATTCAAATTCTAACAGAGCTCATTAGAATG